TGCAATTTAAAACATTAGAAATATTGAGAATTAAAGTGTTTTTATTTCTCTGTACAATAAACTTATCAAGCCGGGCTCGGTGGCTCAGCCTGTAATCCCGCGCCTTTGGGAGGCTGAGGTGAGTGGTTTGCCTGAGCCCGCGGGTTCGAGACCCGCCTGGACAGCGAGACCTCATCTCTACAACAAATCAAAAAATCAGCCGGGCGTGGTAGCGCATGCCTGTAATTCCGGCTACTTGGAAGGCTGAGGCGGAAGGATCGCCGGAGCCCAGCGGGCGAGGCTGCGGTGGCCGGGAGCGGCCACTACACTCCAGTCTGGGCGACGGAGTGAGACTCCAACTCAAAAAAAAAAAACAAAACAAAAAACTTATCAAGAGTAGTTTGAACAGTTTCTTGCTTCTTGTCATAGAACTTATGATATAGAGCCTTGGCAAATGGTCATACTTCTGTTTGGATCAGTTTCCAATGTGTTTAGAAATGCCAGTGATGTACTCCTGTTTATTGTTTTTATAGCTATAAATGCCAAGAAAACGTGCTCACATAACAAATATATGAGAATATGAGACATTTTATTATAGTAATACCATTCATTTCATGAGTTCTTTCCAAGTTATTTGTCAAAAATCTCTCACTTTTGTTGAAAATAAGAAACTGGAAACCTCTGACTTGCAAAAACAGGTTTTACCAAGGCATATCAGCTCCAGGTGAACATGAACCTGAGCTGGTTGTGTACTATACAGCTCCTAAGAGCAGCATTTACGTTGTACTCTACTTGAATGGCATGAGCTAGAATTGTGCAGTGCACAACTCACACAGCTATATGTGATGGCTTTACACATTTTGCCTACTTTTTAAAAAAAATCAGCAGCAACTTGTTTGATCCATTGTGTAAATGAGGTATACAAAATGTTCTGTCTCTATCCATCATCTACACACACTGACAACATTACGACAATGATCATGTCAATCATTTAATGGCATGACCATACTTATGGAAAGATGCACTAATAAGGTAAAAATAATAAATAAAATTATTAGCTTTAGAGCCAGTAGTTCTTTGAAAGGTGAATTGTGTTGTCAACAAGGCATCTAACTTCATGCCAAGCTTAATATCTGTCAAGTTGTTTAAGCCTCATATCCATGGGGAGTCTTTTTTTTTTTTTTTTACATCTTGGAATCACAGATCGCACATCTGTTTTCTTGAGCAGTGTCATTAGTTTATTTGGCTTATGAATGCTAATTATATGTTTCTGAATACATCAAATCTATCAGCATTTGCAGGAGTCGCTTAGATAAAACTCATGGTAAAGAGGAACTTACTCCAGGCAATGCCCTTCAGGACCTGCTCTGTTCTTGGCAAGGTGAAGCAGTCTAACAGTCCGATATATAATTGCACTGATATATACTTTTTTTTTTTAGTTGGAGTCTCACATTTTCACCCAGGCAGGAGTGCATGGCACACTTGCAACACATGGCAGCTTCAACCTCCTGGGCTCAGGCGACCTTTCCACCTCAATCTCACGAGTAGCTGGGACTACAGATGGGCACCACATGCCCGACTAATTTTTTTTTTTTTTTTGGTAGGGATGATGTCTCATTATGGTGCCCAGGCTGGAATATACATTTAGTAATTTACAACCAAGGAACATAAGGCCATAGAAGCAAAAGTTGTAATTGGTCCATGCAGCAATCTGAAATAACTCTACACAAATTACGAAATAGTGAATTCTGTTAGTCAAGAATCATTTATTAGCCAGGCATGGTGGTGTGGCCTGTAGTCCCGGTTACTCAGGAGGCTGAAGCAGGAGGATTGTGAGCCCAGGAACTTGAGGTGACCAGAGCTATGACTGTGCCTCTGCACCCCAGCGTGGGTGGCAGGGCAAGACCCTCTCTCTAAAAATTAAAAAATTAGAATCATTTGTTATTACACATAGTTATGATTCTAGAAGCCCTTACTCTAAGTTAGATGGAACCTATAATATTTCCTCTGTACCAAACTTGGCAAATAGCAACTATAGCCAAAAAAACTATAGCCATCCCTGTACTTTAGTGACAAAAATTGAACAAATACTCTTTCAGTCAGTCACAACTGTGTCCTTGAATGGCAACATTCAAGGTTGAATGGCAGCATCGCTATCAGTTATGAAGGGCAAACTATCTAAAATTACAATTAACTACAAAGTTTGTAATTTTTGAAGAAATTTTAATAAGATACTAATTTGTAAGTTGAGGCTGTAATGGAGAATTAAGTTTAAATATTCTTTCATTATAGTAGGTAACATTTATATACCAAGACCTAAGTGTTTTTACATTAGAAATGTTATCTTTTCCAATAATCTTATATTAAGTTGAGAAACTATTGATACTGTGTCTTATAGATCAGAAAACAACTTATCAGAGAAGTTCAGTAACTTGTGAAAGGACACATGTTAGATAAGTGGCAGAAATGAGTTGTAAGCCTGAAACTAAATCTCATGTTTTTCTTCGCTCCTAAACTGTTTACCAAATGTTCGGATGTTCAACCTTTAATCGTTCTTCCATTTTGGGTTCAACATGCATTCTCTTAACTGTGCATAAGAATCCCATGCTGTACTTGATTAGAATGCATATTCCTAGGTTTCTACTCCAGAGAAGTCTGAGGGTAGTTGTGGGGTGTTGCATAACCAACAACCCTCATGTTTATGATGCAATTTAAATGGTTTTGACATGTGGAACTAAACTAAAACCACTCAAAGGGAATGAACAGATGTTATTTATTCAGAGCATTCTATAGCAAGAGACTTGGTCCCAACCCCACTTGCCTTGCTTGGTCTGAGGCACAAAGGCAGGTAGGGGAGTGGGAAAGTTTTATAGACATGAACAAAAGAAGTTAGGTGTGATGGCTCACGTCTGCAATCCCAGTACTTTGGGAGGCTGAGGCTGGAGGATTGTTTGAGACAAGGAGTTCCAGACCAGCCAGAGTAACCAAGAGAAATGCTACCTCTGCAAAAATGTATATAAGTTAGCGGGGTGTGGTGGCATGTGCCTGTAGTCCTAGCCGTTGGGGAAGATGAAACAAGAAGATTGCTTGAACTCAGCAGGTAGAGGCTGCAGTGAGTCTGGGCAGCAAAGTGAGACCCTGTCTGGAAAAAAAAAAGTGAAAACAAGAGAAGCCCCAAGTATACTCTGATTGGAGATTGTTGAGATGGGAAAGTTGAAGGCAGTCCACCAGAAGCAGGAATATTTTATGTGACTGGTTTGAGGAACTTATTTGGTTTTCTCTGGTTGGTCCTGAGGTGGAAGTAGGGGTAAAAATAGGGAAGTTGGAAGTCATTGACCACTTCCTGACTGTTCTGGTCCAGTTGCTGCAGAGCTTGTGGTTTGGCTTCCTGGGCTTCTTATGTGGTTTCGAGTTTTGTTGCCATATACTGCCTGACCATTGTCCATCTGTATATTATGTCTCTGAGAAACACACTGGTCCTCTGGTGATGGCAAAGGTCTCTGCGAGCTATAGACCATCTTTCAACACTCTATTACTAGTGCCCAGCCTTATCAGGCACTCGGATGACAATAAGATCTTGTTAATGAATGAATGAACGAACAATACAGGAAAATATTTCACACTGACTTTTTGTCACAAGAACAAAATGAACTTCCTGGTGTAGCACATCTTTATATGAATACACTTGCTGTCACCAGAAGGACTAGAGGCTGCTCCTTCCAGCTACTGTGCTCTAAATACAGTAACCTGAATCCTAGCACCACAAGACTTGGACTTAGCCTTGGCCCTGGCTGCTCAAAGCTTCCAGCTTAACCTGTGATGTGCCAACCAACTCCGAAGGCTCCCTCCTGAGTGCTCTGATGGGGATGAACTGGCGTTTGGGGGAAAGGGCAGCTATTTCTGGCCCTTTGAAGGCAACCCCGACCCCAGACTTGTGATTTTACCACATTCTCTTTCTACCTCTATCTCCCCCTCACGGTGGGGGCCGGGGCTGGCGAGAGCTACTGAGGAGGGGAAAAGTACGGCGCGCGCACACACACCCCATATATGGTCTTGAGCCAGGACTCAGAGTTTATCCAAGAGAAGACGCTGGAAAGTGTGTGCGAGATAGGGAGGGAAGCGGAGCGCGCGCCGAGAGAGAGAGGAAGCGGCGGCGCGGGCGGTCTCCTCCGGACGCCGTCCCACCTGCCGCGGGGGACACGCCGGGGAGGGGCCGCCGCGCGCCCGCCCAACGCCCGCCGCGCGGCCCGGCAACGGGGGAGTTCCCGCGCGTGGCCCCGCGCCCAGGCCGCGCGGGGGGCTGTTCGGGTGGAGGCGGGGGAGCAGCCGGGACACCAAAATAGGAGCCGCTTGTGGGCTGGAGCTGCACTAGCAGGCAGCCTGCGCCGCGCCTCTCCCAAAGATGGTCAGAGGGTCTGGACGCGCC